ACTTACCTTTATTGAAGATGCAGCAATGACTGATGAGACACTGTGTCCTGGGAGTGCCTTTTCCTCCTGAGTACTGTAGGTCCTGTTAGGTATTTTCTTCCAGAACATGCCTTATCACACTGTGTATGCCACTACGATTCTTAAATCTCTCAAACCAACCTTTGCTGGCTCTAAATTCACCAATATGAGCACTAGTTCCAGGCATTTTCCCTGTTCACCTGGGTGTTAGTCGACTGGTGTGGGTTGCATCCTGGGAGACAAGATTAAGGACCCCAATGGAAATAAGTTAGACAGTCTTCGATGACACTGACTTTTTTGGGTTATCCTGGGTGGCAAATCCTCTGGGGTTAATTGTTTCTTGGTATTCTCAATAAGCCACACCAACAACGTGCCACAGCAGCAGCAGCAGCAGCTGACGGTGGTACAGCAGCAACAGACGATGCTACAGCAGCAACAGACGATGCTACAGCAGCAGCAGACGATGCTACAGCAGCAACTGACGATGTTACAGCAGCAGCAGACATGCTACAGCAGCAGCAGCAGCAGACGATGCTACAGCAGCAGCGCAGCAGCAGCTGACGGTGGTACAGCAGCAACAGACGATGCTACAGCAGCAACAGACGATGCTACAGCAGCAGCAGACGATGCTACAGCAGCAGCAGACGATGCTACAGCAGCAGCAGACGATGCTACAGCAGCAGCAGACGATGCTACAGCAGCAGCAGACGATGCTACAGCAGCAGCAGACGGTGCTACAGCAGCAGCAGACGGTACTACAGCAGCAGCAGCAGCTGACAGTGCAGCACAGCTGACAGTGCAGCAGCCTGACAGTGCAGCAGCAGCTGACGGTGGTACAGCAGCAGCTGTACCACCAATAGTAGCGATGGTTGATTGGGGTTTATTATACAACCTGGCCAGCTCGGAGACACGCACTCCACTTTCATACTTATCAATGATCTTTTTCTTCATCTCCATAGTAATTCTCACCCTTATTGCTGTAGGGTTGGCACTAGAAGCTTTCTTGGGGCCCATGGTCACTTATTTTCCAGAAAAAAATCACCAAAAACACTGTAATAATACGAAATGTTCCGATTGTATGCTTGGATGTTACCGCGGAGGCTGGCTGGTAAACAATGCCACCGACGGAACATGTGAGCGTGGCTCAGGCCACACATTGGACGCGTCTCGGACGAAGGGCTGTGAGCGGGTTTTTGGGCGGTATGCGAGGCAAAATTTTTGCGATCAAAGCGTCCGGTATGCGGATTGTACGGTATGCGATGCGTCCGGTATGCGGGGGTCCACTGTATATATATACAGGTTTCCCTCAACATTCGCGAGGGTTAGGGGATCAAGAGCCTCGTGAATGTTGAAAAACCGTGAATGTTTGGTGCCCCAATATATTGTAGGGAAATATATTACAATACTGCTTCCTTAACTTGTTGAACCATGAATAATCATAAAATACATGAAAACGTCGTAAATTGTACTAAATATATACATGTTATGCTTTAATAACATATGTTATTTAATAACGTATGTTAATAACATGTATGTTATTAAATACCACAGACTCCACCACTGCCTCCACCAATGCTTCCACCACTGCGAGTCCCTACTACCCTCCCTCCGACCCCCGCAACTGGCAGCCGGCCCTCCCACCACTGTGTGGTGAGTGTTTTGTTTGTTCATTATTTGCTATTAAACTACAGAATAAATAATGTAAACCCATTCATGACTGCATATTGGAATGGCTATTAGGAAAGGTATTAGATGGTGACATCATGTGTTTACTCTTGAACATAGCAAAGAATCGAACATTTCTGCTATTGCTAATAATAATAATAATAGTAATAATAATAATAATAATAATAAATACGATATAATTGAAGAAGGAAATTGCACAAAAATACGAGGGAGTGGTTGACACATTGTCAGTGTGACTTTGTTTATGCTGGAGTGAACATTAGTCTCCCTGCTCTTCCAAACATTTCACAATAATTCAGCGTTAAGGCAGTGTAAGTTATAATAACATTATATGTTTTATAAATAATAAAGTACATGTTATTATTAATAACATGTATTATTATTAACATGTATGTATTTAATAACATGTTATAAATAATAATAGTACATATTATTAATAACATGTATTATTATTAACATGTATGTTATTAAATACCATTGCCTCAATCACTGCCTCTACCACTCCAGTCACACTCAATCTACAAGCACCAAACACAATGAATTATTGTGAAATGTTTGGAAGAGCAGGGAGACTAATGTTCACTCCAGCAAAAACAAAGTCACACTGACGATGTGTCAACCACTCCCTCGTATTTTTGTACAATTTCCTTCTTCAAAAATTAATATCATTTTATTATTATTATTATTATTATATTATTATTATTATTATTATTATTTTGTTATTATTAGCTGTAGCAGAAATGTTTAATTCTTTGCAGTGTTCAAGAGTAAACACATGATGTCACCGTCTAATACCTGTCCGAATAGCCATTCCAATATGTAGTCATGAATGGGTTTACATTATTTATACTGTAGTTTAATAGCAAATAATGAAGAAACAAAACACTCACCACACTGAGTGGTGGGAGGGCTGGCTGCCAGTTGCAGGGGTCGGAGGGAGGGTAGTAGGGACTCGCAGGTGGCGGGAAACTTAAATACAGTATGATTTGGTGGCTGGGAATTTGGTGGCTGGGAATTTGGCGGTTGGGAATAAGCGAATGTGTGAAGCCCGTGAATGTTGAGGGAGACCTGTATATACATGCATGTATAGTGGACCCCCGGTTTACGATCAGCTCTCAATGCGACCAGTTATGTAAGTGTATTTATGTAAGTGCGTTTGTATGTGTATGTTTGGGGGTCTGAAATGGACTAATCTAATTCACAGTATTCCTTATGGGAACAAATTCGGTCAGTTCTGGCACCTGAACATACTTCTGGAATGAAATAATATCGTAAACCGGGGGTCCACTGTATATATTATTTTATTATTTTTTTTTTTATTATTAACACACTGGCCGATTCCCACCAAGGCAGGGTGGCCCGAAAAAGAAAAACTTTCACCATCATTCACTCCATCACTGTCTTGCCAGAAGGGTGCTTTACACTACAGTTTTTAAACTGCAACATTAACACCCTTCCTTCAGAGTGCAGACACTGTACTTCCCATCTCCAGGACTCAAGTCCAGCCTGCTGGTTTCCCTGAATCCCTTCATAAATGTTACTTTGCTCACACTTCAACAGCACGTCAAGTATTAAAAACCATTTGTCTCCATTCACTCCTATCAAACACGCTCACACATGCCCGCAGTGGAGCAGAATTCTTCCTCCATAAGCCTTGTGTGTCATAAGAGGCGACTAAAATGCTGGGAGCAAGGGGCTAGTAACCCCTTATCCTGTATACATTACTAAATTTGATAAGAATTTTTTTTTTCTTTTTGGGCCACCCTGCTTCAGTGGGATTCGGCCAGTTTGTTGAAAGAAGAAAAAGATATACGTATATGCATATAGTATTGGGCAAATTTTGTTCATTGTTCTCTTTAACATTTAGAAAATACACTACAATTTAAGAAGAATATATTTTTTTAAATAATTACAGCATGAAGGATATTTAATTTCTAGGCTTTAGACAGCTTGAGGGTGATTTTGTGAGTGATAAATAAGCATAGGCTTGCACTTTATGTTACTCAATGCATTAGTGCATATAAGTAGAGTGAAACAACCCTTTGCTGCCTTGAATTCAGGTGCAGGTTTCCTTTGTTTGCTCATGTGAGTTCTAGATGGCAGTTTCCAAAATATATCTTGTATTATCAGTTTTAAGCACTTGCTCAAGTTTGTAACCACCTTCAGCAATAATTTCCTCCAACTTGGCAGGGTAATTCCTGGCAGCAATGAAATAAGCAGATGCACTTTCCCATTTAAACTATTGTGCAGGTCACTGTATAATTTAAAGCAGTTAAATTATCCAGAACTAAATGGACACTCTTGTGAAGGCTTTCCTTCCTGCTTACTCTCTGTTTTATAATACAATATGGCTTTCTTCCTTATAATAAGAGCACTAAGTGTGATACTTTTTTGTGTTTTCTGTTTGGTCTATATATGTATTTACTGACTTTCTGTATTAACCTCTTTAACATTTTTTCAGCAGGTCACAATCTGGATTGCTCATTGAACAAGCTCCTATCTTCATCTCTTTGTCTTTGATTGAACAAATTGTTGTTTTTCTGGCACCAAAATGCTGGCTATCTCCATTACAAGTTCACCAGTTTTAAGTGTATCTAACTCCTTAATTTTTTAAAACAGGTTTAGTTTCACACTTACTCTTTTTGGCACCTCCAGCATCACTAGTATTTCTCTTGGGTGCCATGGTTAATATCTAGGGATGAGATGGGTGAAGAAAGATACAAAATTGATTATTGGCAAACGAGAGTAAGGCATAAAATGCGTCCAGAAGAAACTGGAAGCGCGGGTGGCTATTTTCACCAAGGAGTGAATCTAAGTTTTCTTTTAAAACAGTGGTCTCACCCAAGGCATGGAGGAGACATGTCCCACTGCACGATCAAGCTGAACTTCATGCATATAGTGGATGTAGGCATGGCTTTACTGCAAAACATGGACTCGGATACAAAATTTCTATAGTGATCTCTGGACGTGTTACAGGCAAGATTTGATTGTACCTTTCAATTTCTTTGTTACAATTTATTTTAATATTATGCATAAAAAAATATGATTTCAAGTATGTAAGGCACTGGAATATAATCCTAATGTTGTGGGATCTATGTTTTTTCTATAAGTTTTTCTCCAACACTTTCTGGAATTTTAGTGAATCTTTTTCCCATAAGCTGAAGGCCTCTAAACCTATTAAGATTTTTTTTACTAGATATCAGCCAGGAGAGCAAGTGTAGCAGGATACAGTGTGTGGGTTTGAGAGTAACAAGGTTGGGTATTCACAACACTTACTATTATGTCCTTTCTGTCAGGTGATGCCAGGTCCTCGGGGATATGACTTCTGGCAGAAGAAGCTGGGAGGGGCACGGCTAGTAGTAGCACCAATGGTGGATGCTTCAGAGTTGGCCTGGCGACTCCTGTCTAGACGCTATGGTAAGTAAGGTTTGGCCAAAATGGGCTTCTCTATTCATGTCCCCCTCACACTAACATTATTCATAGTGTCTTCTCTAGCTGGGTAATTATTACACACTTCTTGCTATCACCCTGGTTCTCATCACACTATCCAGTCCACAAGTTCCACAACCCTCTTCTGCATTTCCTTATATATGTACCTCTTCCTGCAAGAGTGAATGCCTTGAGAGTGATGGGCTCTTGATCCAGTCCCTTGGATCAAGAGCCCTTTTCCCTTCATAAGGTGAAACCAGATCTCTCCTATCACCTAGATGCTTTATGACCCCAATGGGTTTACTCTTTCCCATGAATATTATAATAATTATTATGCTACATCTCTGTCAAACACCTAGTTTTACTATTTTTTTTTTAATATTTTTTCTTGTAACTTGCAATCTTTTATATGGATACACTTATCATTAACACTATTATACAGATTCACTCTTGTGAATTTTTTATGATTTCAGACTTTTGAAAAATTTGAAATGCAGTGCATATACACTGACCTTGACTGTAATCTTAAATTTAAGACCCCAATGGAAATAAGTCACTCTGTCTGACTTTTTTGGGTTTTCCTAGGTTCTCTACACATATGCTGCTATGTATGATAATTCTATGTAACTGGATTTGTGTATACCTGAATAAACTTACTTACTTACTTACTATTCAGCATATAATTAAGAAAGTTTCCAAAACAGTAGGCATCCTTTCCAAGATACAACTATGTACCCCAGATGGCACACCTTACTTTGTCACTCTCTAATATACCCTTACCTTGCCTATGATATTTGTGCTTGGGGATCTGCCATGGCCAATCACCTTAAACCTTTAATAACCCAACAGAAAGCTGCAGTGAGGATGATCACAAACTACTGTGCCAGACAACACACCCCACCACTTAATTATTGTGCCTACTATATATACAGAACATCAAACTCCAGTATAAACCCTCCGCTCAAACTTCTCCTAGACAGCTACACCTGAACACACATGCATAACTCGAGGCACAATACACTTTTTGACATCCCTCATGTCCGTCTCACACTGCAAAAACTCAATGCACATAAAGGGCCTGAAGATCTGGAACTCTTTGCCTGAACCAGCAAGAGGTTCCCTGCCCACAAATCAATTTAGGACTGTACTTAAAAATCATCTCATCTCTCAGTAATAGCTATACCCACACTGTACTAATCTCTAACAAAATTTGAAATAACTCTCCCAAATATTTTATTATCCTTTATCTATTAAACCAGTATTACAAACCTAGAAATGTATGTTTGTCTCATAAATTGTACTACCTCATATTAATAATTAAGTAAAATATTGGAATATTTGAACTTTGTCTAGACTTAAGTAGTCTTTAATCCTTTCCCTGTCGGTGGCGTATAGGTACGGCTAACAAGCCAGTGTTGGTGACATTAATACGCCAAAATTTTAGCGGCTTCAAATTTGGTGAGAGAAAGCTGGTAGACCTACATATGAGAGTATGGGTCTGTGTGGTCAGTATGCACAGTATAAAAAAAGTCCTGCAGCACGCAATGCATAAGGAGAAAAAAAACTCCGTATGGTATTTATAGTTGTATTCTCATTTTCTTGGTCTCATTTGATAGAATGGTCTCAACAGTGGAAGGGTCAAGTACAGCCTCTCCTCACTTAACAACGGAGTTCCATTCCTAAGACCATGTCGGTAAATGAATTTGTCGCTAAGTGAGGAGCATATTATAATGGTAGTGGGTTTTTGTCAACCATCTTTGATATTGTTTTAATGTCACCTTTGCACCATTTATAACATTTCTGGTACAGTGGACCCTCGCCTAACGAACGCATCGCACAACGTTAAATCCGCCTAGCGATACATTTTAACGCAAAAATTTTGCCTCGGCTAGCGCTAAAAAACTTGCTCAACGCGATTCGTTCGAGACGTGTCCACGTGCAGCCTGAGCCCGCCTCACTTGTTCTGTGGGTGCCAGTGTTTACAAGCCAGCCACCGCGGTCGCTTCCAAGCATACAATCGGAACATTTCATATTATCACAGCGTTTTTAGTGATTGTACCTGCAAAATAAGTCACCATGGGCCCCAAGAAAGCTTCTAGTGCCAACCCTGTGATAAAAAGGGTGAGAATTAGTATGGAAATTAAGAAAAGATTTTGAAGGGTTTTGGGCTAACCCTGAGACACCTATGCCAGTTGTGGAATCCATTGTGTCTACTTCAAAGATTAAGGAAATGTGTGCAAAGTGGGTTGAACTGCAAACCTTTATGGATGAAAATCACCCTAACACAGCTACTGCAAACCATGCTGGTGACTATTACAATGACAATGTTGTGGTCCATTTTAGGCAAATCTTAAAGGAACAGAAGGTACAGACTTCTATAGACAGATTTGTTGTGCAACAGAGGTCCAGTGACTCTCAAGCTGGTCCTAGTGGCATTAAAAGAAGAGAAGTAACCCCAGAAAAGGTCTTGATACCTCAAGTCCTAATAGAAGGGCATTCCCCTTCTAAACATTAACAACTTCCACACTCTCCCCTCCTCCCATCCCATCAATCATCACCAGATCTTCAATAAAGGTAAGTGTCAGTTTGTGTGTATTAAAATTAATATTTCATGTGGTAAAAAATTTTTTTTTCATACTTCGGGGTGTCTTGCACTGATTAATTTGATTTCCATTATTTCTTATGGGGAAAATTAATTCAGCTAACGATGAGCTTTCAGGAACGGATTAATAACGTTAGCTGAGGGTCCACTGTAGTTGGGTATACATGCCAAAAGCCCCTTTGTATGCAGAGTTTTTCGGGCAAACTTAGAGATTAACTTAAGATTAGTAAGGCAATGATAAATAGTTCATATGGTCATTAGATAAGTTACAGTTAGTACAGTAGAATTGTATATCTTGTCAGGTAATGTTACATGGTTTTGATAATTCTAGTAGAGACTTATTACACTATTGAATTAGATAATTCAGTATTACAATGTAACAATTTAAAACAATTTACATTATGATGTATTACAGTTTAGTACTATTTAAAACAATGAAATTTGGTACAGGTCCCCCATCACAAATCTGGCATCATTGGGACCTGTAGTGTGCCGGATTACTGAGTTTGCCGAATTACAGAGTGGTTAAGTTAGAATACACTTAATAAAATTAACCAACTTGACCTACACAGTTCATTGAACATCGGCAAAAATCGAACATTTCCGCTACTTTTAGCTCAATTTCAAGGTACTTTTCATCATGAAAGCAATCAAAATCATGTCTATTTCTGTAATATATCTTCCATTATATCAAATGAGTCCAAAAAAAAAAATGAAAATTCAACCATAAAAACCATATGAAAATATACTGCAAAGAGGCGGCTAATGGCTGAGAAGTGAACTCCCTTATTTATCATCCGTCATTTTTATTTTTGTTGTACATTAAGAAGCATCTTTCCATCATACATTGCCCAAGTTTCAATGAGATAGCCCAACAAACGAACGAGAAAAAAAAAATATTTACCAAAAATCATGTATGGCAAGCCCAACCCAGGTACTGGAAATAAGTCACTTTGCCAGACTTCTCTGGGTTATCCTAGGTTCTCTATACATACACTGCTATGTATGATAATCTATGTAACTGTATTTGTGTATACCTGAATAAACTTACTTCTAGTCTGTCAACTGAGTACAAGAAACCGCCCATTCACTTATTTCAACTACCCAAAAAAGTGGTCAGAAATTGGCAATTTGGCAAATTTCACACAAATTTCAACAGATGCCAATTTCAAAATAGGGTCCAGAATAAACAATGCAGACATTCCTGGCACTAAAATAACATTTTCTCTGTTCATTAGTCATGGCTACAGGCCCCTCTTATATTACTCTTGCTTACCATTTGGAATTTTTATTCACAAAAAAAAAAAAAAAAAAAAGATTTACTGTTATGCAGACTACTGCATTATTGTAATAATTTTATAAATAATGTCAATCCATTCTTGACTCCGTACTGGAATTTAGACTGGCAGGCAGACAGGTATTGGACGGTGACGTCATTTGTTTACTCTTGAGCTTCACTAAAGAATAGAACATTTTCACTACTGTGAGCGCAATTTCAAGGTACTTTTCATCATGAAAGTAATCAAAATCATATCTATTTCTGTAATATATCTTTCATTCTATCAAATGAGACCAAAAAAAATGAGAATATAACCATAACAACCATACAAAAATATACCGCTAAGTGGCCGCTAATGGCTGAGAAGTGAACTCCGCTATTTATGGTCTGATTTCTTTCATTTTTGGTGTACGTGAAGAAGTATCTTTCCATCATACATTGCCCAAGTTTGAATAAGATAACCCAACAAACAACTGAGAAAATAATAACAATAATATAATAATAATAACATCTTTATTTACTACACGTACATGTACAAGGTATACAGGCCTAGCTGACATCAGTGACATACTACTGTATAAAAAGGCACTTGTTATGCTGAGTATTTCAAGAAAATTAGGTCAGTGTCCCAGGATAACACCCACACTAGTCGACTAACACCCAGGTACCCATTTATTGATGGGTAAACATAGACAACAGGTGTAAAGAAACACACCTAATGTTTCTACCCTGGCTGGGAATCAAATATTTACCAAAAATTATATATGGCTAATCCAAGCCAGGTACTAAAAATAAGCCACGTTGACTTTTTTGGGGTTATCCTAGGTTCTCTACACATGCTGCTATGTGTGATAATCTATAGAGAGAAAATAACTTTTTTGATTCATGTTTATGGTGGAGTACGAGTGTATATCATAGTTAACCCTGTGCTATACTCCGTTTTCTCTAATATAAGCCACCAAGACAAGGATAGGAGAATGGTATTTGTTTACCATATCCTCTTCATAACTCTGTTGAACTGCTCGGTGTTATGCCAAATATTATTCATTCTGGAGTATTTAACATGTTTTATGTTATTTATATTGTTTCTTATGTCATATTAGATCA